TGACCGCGTCTTCATGCAGTGTGTCGAGAGAGGCCGAGTTGTTCTTGCGTGCTTTCCATCTCTTCGTGCTTAGGGTCGACACCAATTCAGATTGCTGGCTGCATTAATGCAGGGATGATACCTTGTGTAGCTAGCATCGTGGGATAGCAACATCGGTACGACACTCGTAGATCATTCTCCACCTGTTGAAATACTACTTTGTCAAGAAGTGTGGAGTTGCCCGCAGAGAGGGTGTCGATCACGCCGTTGAGAGCGCGTTCGCTAAGCCACAGCCCTTTCTGATGCAAATACAAGAGTGCACGCTTAAAAAGTGTCGAGGGGCCCAGTCCATGCGACCGATATGGCGCATGTCGGTCAACCCTAACCCAGCCCTAACCCGGAACACCAGAAAACACGGGCGCTCTGCGCCGTTTTCATGTCCCTCCAAAACCGGATACTATTATGCGCGAATATTTGCTTTCAGCTGTCGATGACCCAGCTCGAAGCAATCTACTATATTCTGTCAGCACTATGATGCAGCAACGAACGCCGTGTTCTACTGCTCCCCTTGCCAATGCGCAAACACTTGTGTTGTTTGTTTCCTTGCGAAGCACACTTCTCATTTCGAATCCGACGCTTGCTACATGCTGCATGGACTTGCGTGCGTACATTGTAGCAGCCAAGTCGCGACAAAACGACGATCGTGGGTGTCTTAATCAATAGCCTCGTCCTCGCTGTTGCCTCGACTGCGCTTGCGCTCGCCACCGCGCACTCCGCGTTCCGTGACTAGTCATCGCATAACACCACATCTCTCTCGGCAAATCGGATCTTACCATCAAAGCGCACACTGGCTTGGGCGAGCGACGTCGACTTGACAACCTGCGCGACCCGTATTTGATGCTACACCCGATGGAAAGGAATGACCAGCCGTCGTCAGAATCTGCTGAACTCGTACCTCCCAGCGCAGCATGATGCGATTCGTAATTGAAAATGACCACGACTCGCCTGCATCCACCTCTGAGACGCCACACAAAAACATGAGGAGTCGGGTCTACCGAGCGCCGGCACGATATTGGAGCCGTCGATGTCGGATCCGTGGTGGAGCGATGTGGTCACGTGGTTGATCAAGACCACCTACAAGCCCATCTCCATCGTCATTTCGGTGCTTATATGCACGTACGGCAATCGGAAAGTCCTGCACGAGCTTCCGGAGGACGAGGGACATGTTGTGCAGCATCCGCGCTCGTCCCGTCATGTCGTCAAAGCCATGTCGACAATGAAAGGCAATGCTGTCGACGAGGACGACGCGGATCTAAACAGACAGATTGTACTCGTGTCTGCACATTCAACGTGGTCTTTTTACCGACGGCGTGGCTGCCAAGACGTTGACAAGCGATGCGAGCACCTCGTACTGCTCTTGAAAGTCGTGAACACGGTAGTACGTCAAGCCCCGAAGAAGGCCATCGCGGTCCTAATGTGGTTGTTGGTCTCGTCATATGTAATGAAGGGAAGCGCACCAGCGGCTGCAACTCGGGCACATCGTCGACAAGGCATGCTGCCATGGCCGCTGCGCGATGGATCATAAAGCTGCCCTCCGAGTCTATATTCGACCATAAGTACCAGATGATGAGACATGGAGCACGCACCAATGTAGATGCTCTGGAAGGGCGACCCGTCGGCGGCGGGGCACTGCGCGCCAAGAGCAATCTGGATACTACGCATGGTCGTATCAGCATCGCAATCGACCTTGGGCAGTCGTATACGCGAGCTGCGTCTTCCCGACTCCCGGCGTGCCGCCTAGTAGAGTCCATAGATGAGGCCTCGTCGCTGGAGGAGCGCGTACAGATTTCGGTAATTTCGCCAATGGGAATGCCACCGCCGAGCACATCGTCGAGCCCAGGCACGAACGTTCGTATCGGCGGGTGGGCATCGAGTTGCTACACGCAGATACAGGTTTATTGTTGCTGGCCACGGGTTGAAGCGGCTTACCGCCAAGACGTCAAAAGCCGAGAGCCCGAGGGTCGCGCCGCGGGGGCCCTTGATGGCTGTGAGCACGCGCGACGCCTCCTGGAACGATATCTTGGCAACTAGCCAAGCACCATAAGCGCGTCGTCCAATGGCCAAGGCAGGCGTACCGTTGGCGAGCTCGCGCGAGCTAAAGGCTTCGACGGCCTTGGTCGAGTCAAAGCCCGCTCGCCGCAGCGCCGCTGCACGCGCACGAGGCCAAGTGATCAGTCGGCTGGCTGGAGATGAAGCGACGTACCCAGCACGGACGGCGCGAGCCCGAGCGCGTCAAAGCTGTGGTCCGCGGCCATGTATCCGTCTGCCGGATCTGTGCGAAGCTCGAATATATATGGCTCACACTAAATGCATGTCCTGGTACGATACAAACTTTGAAGGTCTAAATATAGTGTGCGTTGAAATTCGCGCCATTTTGCCTCTTCAGCATGCAGCTATCGGCGTCGCAACACAATAAGGGACCTGTGACCCGAATTCTAACTTTTTCCTGCAAGTTATGACCACTGGTGGATGGACTGGAGCATCGTTGCGCGATTTTCTGCTGCGTAAGAGAAGGCTGTTGCTGCAACCATTCAGTAGGAAAACGTCCTGTCGGTCGTCTAGCTCGTTGTTGCTGACGCTATTCTAAGTCGTAGCTACTAGTCAAGGGAATAAATAAGCCCTTGCTACTAGTAGTCGCTCGGCGATGTTCGTATTCCCATGGATTTAAGCAGCTATGTTGACAAGGCAAGGCAGCTTTAGATCCTGAACGATCGTCGACATGCATGCAGAATATCCGGATAAAAGCGCCGGTGATGTCCGGATGCAGTGCAGTTTGCCTTTGGCTTGAGAGGACGCCTGAGAGGACGCATGGTGGCGACCTTCCGCAGCGTCGTGCTCGGCCAGCCCGAGATCGCAGCCATCGTCTTTGGCTACCAGGTTGGCGTCTACGACGACGTGCGCATGGCCTTTGCCGCCTGCAACGAGCTGCTCGAGTTTGATGCCCGCGACCACGTCTACCATTGCGATGCGTCATTCCGCTCGACTTTTGCACCCGGCACCGGTTGGGCAGGCGAGGCGAATGGCGATATCTGCTCCTCGACGTATGGTCTTGATCGCTTTCAGTGGGACGCTCGTCTGCCGCTGCACGTGGCGATCGCCGAAGGCCTCTTGCACCTTACCAAGCGCATTGTCCGGTGCCGACCCGACCTCGCCTGGGACAGCGCGTTCTTTCTGGCATTTGCGAGCTGTCGCCTCGATATTGTCGAGCTTCTCTTGGACCTACGAGCGACCGTCCCCGAGCTGCGTCGACGCATCCATGTCGCTGATGGTGCGTTGCAGCTTCCGTGTGCTGCGTAACTTTTGATGTAGATGGCTCTGTGCAGCGCGCCTCGTTCTTTACACTAACAGCGATGTCAAAATGCTCTCGCGAGACGACGCGAAGGGCGTGGTGTTGCTGGAGCGTTTCGGTCTGCGCCCGGACGACTTGACCTCCTACGACATGCGGCACGCGATCGAGTCGTCGACGCTCGCGAACGCGACGCGCGCTCTCGACACCTTTCCGTGGCTACACTACCCGAGCCTCCTGGACGATGTCGCGGGCGCAGGCTTTTTGCCGTTGGTGCAAACGCTTCACGAACGAGGTTTCGCGTGCTCGGTGGACGCCATGGACAAAGCTGCCAGAAGAGGTTTTCTGGACGTCGTCCAGTTCCTGCACACCAACCGGACAGAAGGTTGCACGGTCGAGGCGCTCGATGGCGCCATTTTTAACGGCCACCTCGACGTCGTTCGGTTCCTCATCGAGCACCGCACCGAAGGTGCATCGCACGATATCTTTGACGAGGCGGCAGCCAGCGCAGGCCTCGACCTCATTCAGTACCTGCACAGCCTTGGCACGTTTGGGTGCACGATCGACGCCGTCGATGAGGCAGTGGAAGGGGGCAATCTTCCGGTCGTCCAGTTTCTCTTGACCAACCGAGACGAAGGTTGCACCCGGGACGTCGTCGTTCAGGAAGCGCTTGCGGGTGGTCATCTGCGCATCGCAGAGTACCTCCTCTCGCTTGGCTACCCGTTCCCGACCGCGACGCCACGTGTTCCCGTTGGGTCCTTTTACAAGCCCGAAATGCTTGGCGTCGTGCAGCTTTTGGTCGACCATGGCGCGTCCTGGGGCGACGACTGGATGGCCTTCGCGTGCGCGGGAAAAAACCTACCACTCTTCCACTTGCTCTCACGAGAATGACGTGCTCAAGCATGCGATCGAAGCGAAGGCGTGGGACGTGGTGGACTATCTCTTGGGTAACTGCATGGAAGACATCTCCATCGATGCGCTCGATGCGGCGCTACGCTTCGGCAAACTCGATCTCGCCTCGGTCATCTTACAGCGGCAGCCAGAGCTCCGTCGCCACGACGAGCTGCTTGAAACGGCCGTGGACACTCGCAAGACAGAGGTGGTGCGTTTCCTCCTCACCGCCGGCATTGGCAAACCTCGCGACTGCCTCCTCGAGATTACCGGTCGTCGATCGCATGTGTCCGAGAGCAAGCTCTTGCTGCCGTTCTGCATGGACACCACCAACCATCTCAGCAACGTCGTCTTCCTCTTGAACCTCGTCGCGCTGCCCGACCGCCGCCGCTCGACGACGCTCCAGCTCATTGCGACCGAGCTCACGTACCAAGGCAAGAAGGCCAACCAACGCATCGAGCTGGCACCAAGCGTGGCAGCGCGGGCGACAACGTTACTGGAGGCTGGCGAGGTGGTCGACTGGGCTCTGGCCCTCACCATTGGTCATCGTAAGGCGACGGACGCGATCACATTGGTCTGTGATGCCGAGCTCAAGGCGCAGCTCACGCACCTGCTCGCAAAGAAGCGCAAGCTCTCGACGCAGTAACGCCGGACGGCGCGAACTCAATTGGTGTGTTTGACTCAGTACTGCCGTGTTTAGCCTCAATAAATGTCGTCCATTGACTTTGAGTTTCAGGGTGCGTCTACCAAGACCTTCTGCGCCAACCATGAGGTCGCCGAGCTCAATCTCAACCTCATGCACGAAGGGTGATTGCATCAGTCCGAAAAAGAGACGTCTATCAACTTTTTCCAGTCTTCGACACTGATTGACCACCAAGTAATGCAGAGCTGGGTTCGAGTCCCGGTAGAGACACCCTTTCCGAGTGCTTCGACAGTACAACCGAGCTGTTCTCGATGGGGCGAGATGCATCGTGACATATCGTCAATGCATATCGTGTTGCATCGAACTAGCTGATACGAAGGAGCACGCGACTGGAAAGCGTGGTCAAGGCGCCATGATTGCATCGAAGCGATGGTTGCCGTCAAGCAAGACACCTAGGACAATAGTCCACAAAACCACCAACCAATCGAATCACGACGCTCGTTCAATCGACGAGAGTAGACTTGTGACACGTTGGGCACCAGCGTTGGGCTTTCGAGTGCATCGGCACACTGGACCGGCGCGATAGGCCGTACACAAAATGTAGAAGCTATCGGCTTCTATTTTATTTTCCGGATAGATATACGGATAATACATGCGAGCAACAATCCAACGGCACGACCATCATTCCATTCGAGTCATCACCAAAACCCGAAATGGTATTTCCCAAGCAGGCATGGCTGTGTCTGTGCTCCGGTCGCCCGACCTCATTGCCGCCATCGCGTCGTACCAAGAGGGCCTACCCCAAGACTTGACGATCGTCCAGCGCCTCGCCGACGCCGTCAAGCTCACGCCAGGATCGCAATACCGAAACGGAGATCGAACGGGATACCTTGCCGACATCCCAGCTCGGTTTGCATCCTTGCCGTACCTCCAGCGCTACCCACACCCGACGACCAAGCTACCTCATCATGCGCTCTTTGTCTCACCGTATTATTACGACCGAGCCCTCGCGCTCCATCTCTTAATCGTCGAAGGTGACGTGGCGCTCGTCCAGCAATGGCTTCGAAGGGATGGCTCGCTGTGTACCTCGGCGACGCCGGAGCTTGCTGCTGCTGCGTCCCAAGGTTCGATTCTGCGTCTTCTTTTCGAGCAGTTTCCTGCGCTGGCCACGCCCAAGATGATGGACCTTGTCGCCATGTCGGGCGACCTCCCGCTGCTCGTGTGGCTTCATGAGGCGGGCGTGGCCTGTACCACCGACGCGATGGACGGCGCAGCCATGAACGGTCACTATGACATCGTTGTTTTTTTGCACTCTGCACGGACCGAGGGCTGCACGATCACGGCGGCAACGGCAGCAACCGTCCACGGTCACGCGTCGATCGTTCGCTTTCTTCTCGAGCAGCGTACCGAAGGCGTTGACCCGTCGCTCAATTTTAAAGTGCCGCATGGCGAGCACAAGACGCACAGTGTACGCGGCGAGACGCACATGGAGGCCATCGATCTCGTCGCCGCCACCGTCGAGTTGACAGACCACGCTTTCAATATGATCGTGGACAAGGGTGGTCTCGCAGTCCTTCAACATGTCTACGCGCGTGGGTACCTGAAACGAATGACCAAGCCATTGCTGGAGCTAGCAGTCGCCAAGCAAGACCACGAAATACTGCGCTATATCCTCGCCTGCATCAACCAAGAGAACCCACGACCACCCAGCGACGACGAGTGGCTGCCAACGGACGTGCTAGATAAGACCTCCTCATTCAGTCGAATGGTTAACGACCCCAGTCCATTCGACCGGTGGGAGGGCTGCACAGCGATGGAGCTCGCAGCCTTCAACGGTGACATGACGTCTCTCAAGCTCTTGCACGCGAGCCGCCTTCGCGTCGGGTCGGAGCGAGCTATCGCCTGCGCAGCCTACCGCGGCCACCTGAACGTGCTCGATTGGCTGCACAAGAACCGACGTGACGGCTGCGGCGAAGACGCGATGGCCCTCGCCGCCGCCCGCGGTCACTTTGACGCTGTGCGCTGGCTCCATGAAGTCTACGGTCTTTGGCGGACCCACGCCGCCTTGACCACGGCAGCCTACATTGGCCACATGGCGATGGTGACGTACCTCTTGGACGTGCCGACGGGCGGCGTCGACTCTTGCACTGACCCAGCCGAGGCGTCCTCGATCTGCCAATCAACTTTAGCTGCGTGCGACGACGACGGTTGCAAAGTGTCTGTCGACTACGCTCGGGGGTCCGCGGTGCACCAGGCGGCGAGCCAAGGCCACCTCGAGATGCTTGAGCTGCTCGTCGCTCGCGGCTACGCGGTGCCACCGACAGCACTCGGGATGGCCATGGCGTATGGACATGTCCAGGTCGTGCGCTACCTCCACGAGCGTCACGGCTGCATTTGCGACTTCAATTCCGTCTGGAGCGCTGTTCGGACGCGTCAAGTCGAAACGGTTGCGTACGTGCTATCGCAGCGCTGTTGGCGACGCCGTGGAAACTTTGGCGCAAACCCAGAAGACATCGATTTTTCGCTGTACATGCTGCTCGTGGCCACCGCACGCAGCGGCAGCCTCGACATCTTGGCGCTTGTCAACAGTGCTTTTCAACTACCAACGAAGCTACCAGCTCGCGTCTCGGAGCGCATGATGATCCGCGCAGCGTCCCACGGTCACCTCGACATGCTCCGGCATTTGCACGACGTCTACGGCTTTGGATGGACAGTATTTGTTGAAGAAGCAGCGGTTCACAGCGGCCACAAGAAAGTGCTGCGCTACTTGCAGACTCTTGGACCCGCGGAGGCCTCCGTCTACGAACGCCGCGAACGTTGTCTGTGGCGTGAGCAGCATGACTTGTTAGCTACAAGCTTCCGACTTGTGTAAACTGACTGTATGGATCATTCTGCTTGACAAATGTCCATCTGGCGGCATCTGGCGGTAACCATGGTGGACAAGAAACTCGCAGTAAGTTTGGACAGGACCCTGTTGTCTACAAGGTCCTGTCCATACTGTACTAGCTGCCCAGAAGGCGTCTGGAAACACCCTTGCTTGCTGTGGTAACCAAACGAATAGCATGGTCACAAAACATCCCGGTAGCACCGTTGGGCTTTGGGCTTACTGCCCAACGGGGCAATCCAACTCGTTCCTGAAGCACCGCTCACAACAGCATTTGCTTCGAGCCGACCACGTGTAGTTGCTTTCTGCGATGCCTCTCAAGACGGTGCAACCACCGAGAAGCCTTGCGGCGACACTCGCACTCGCCACCGACGCCTTGCACGAGCTGGAGGCAGCGTTGCGACTCGGTCTCGGCAAGGACGACGCCTTTCCACTGCCGACAACCGATGCGTTTGATGCCGCGATGACCTCGCTCGGCTTGACGCAATGGACGCTGGACGCGACCAAGCTAAGCGACCCGCCGACGCTGCTTCGACGTCTCAAGACACTGGATATTGTCCTCTCAAAGTCGCAAGGGGCACTCTCGACCCCCGTCGCGCCGCTCTCGGACGCAGAGGTGGTTGCACGCGCCAGCGGAGGGA